GTTTGTGGCAGCCCTACACTGAAAACATGTAAAAGTGTAAACATGTTGGATGTTTTTCAGTCTTTGTTCCAAAAGGATCTAAATTCAAACTGGATTTTTTTTCTTGCTCAGCTACTTTAAGAATGAAATGATTTGCTCAGTGTAGATTAAAGTGTGCGCCACTGTGCAGTAAATCCATCAGCAGGTGATTCCCTTAAGAGCTGAAATGGAGGCAGATGCTGAGCTGGCAAGAAAAGTCCATTAGCGCACAGCTGATACTGTACAAGCAATGTTTCCTCAGCTGCAGACAGGAAGGATACGTCTGCTTCCTACTGCAGGATAAGGACTCTTTATAGAGACTCAAATGAGCTTTAAATTAGAAATACAGGTTGTTCTGTTTTATAACAACTTCACGGGTTTCACCAGCATCTGTATTTGTACTTATCAAAGCAAGCTTTGTGAGGAGGTTTGTCTGTGTAAGCTAAACCCTTTTATTTGTTAAATCCACCTGAAAGATCAAACATAAACCCACAAATCTGTGATGGATGTTCACGAAGCTGTAAGCTAACTGCTCGTGCTGCCTTGTTGAAAGTCTCTGTGCTCCTCATGTACCTGTAAGGCCGTCATAAAATTTAGTACACCCCCTCCTTCAAACACTGTAAGGGAAGTCAGGCTTTATTGGAGCTGCGTTAAACTTGATACACAGTCAGGTATTTCACTTTTGCTGTAGGTTTTTAAAAAACATTTTTCCTGCTCTCACACAGCAATTTTCCATCTTTTGTGATAACTAAAGTACATCTGGTGTTATTAATCATGACTCAGTTGCTGAGGGGTCGAGGTTTGGTGCTCGGGTGCGGTTTTATTTAAACGATTCCCTCTCTGCCGCCTCTCTCAGGAGACACCGTGTTCATCGTCCTGCGGAAACAGCGCCTCATCTTTCTGCACTGGTACCACCACATCACCGTGCTGCTTTACTCCTGGTACACCTACAAGGATAACCGGGCGGGCGGCTGCTGGTTCGTGACCATGAACTACATGGTTCACTCTGTCATGTACACGTACTACGCCGCCAGAGCGGCCGGCCTGCGGGTGCCGCGTCCCTTCGCCATGGTCATCACGGCCTTGCAGATCCTGCAGATGGTGATGGGCCTGGCCGTGCAGGGCCTCGTGTACCACTGGATGCACGAGTTGCACTGTCCGTCCCACCAGGACAACATTGTGTGGGGCTCTCTCATGTACCTCAGCTACTTGATCCTCTTTGCCTACTTCTTCTACAACACCTACCTCAAAGGCTCCCCCAGCGACAAAGTGTCCAAGAAAGAGTAGCGCGCCTCCCTGTGCTCGGGGTCGTATTAAAGGCTCTCAACATCCTCCTCTTCTGACTGCAGCTCAGAGAGGAGGACGATTTGGAGCATTTTAATGTGATCTCACGATGAAAGCGAGGAGATTGAGGGGCATTTCTGTAACTGTGTTTGACTAAAAATAGCGCTGTCGTCATTTAAACGATTGCCTTGTTTACTTAAACTCCTTTATCTAAAAACAGCCATATGAGGGCCAAATACTGTCAGAGGCAACTGACACTTGTTCCTGTGTTTTTAAAGAAGAAGTCATTGATTTATATGTAAGAAGAAATGCTTAATTTTACTTTAATTGAGTGAGGAAATGATTCGTTTAGCTCTAGTTAGCTTAGCATAAAGGCTGGAAGCAGACTTTCCTTTCCCTGGAAAACTGACTTATTTAAACTCTGCATCTTTCTGTTTAACCTGCAAATGAACAAAAACATAAAAGCAACAGATTCTTGACTCCAGCTCTAACAAACATCTTTTACAGACGGGATCCTGTTAAAGCGTTTACACACCGCCTGCTCACTGTCTTTATGCTCGACTAGGATAAACAATCTGCACCAAATTTGCACCAAATGTTGAACTAGCCCTTTAAAAGTGACACGGGGGCAGGTACTAATCTGATGCCGTAAAAATGAGCATCACGTGGCGCCTGCAGGCGCAGAAACTGTAACACCTGTGTCCACCTGTGCAGGTTAGCAAGTAACAGGGAGTGAAGACTAATGCACTAAATGGCAGAGGAATGTTTTCGTGCACGTAAACGTGCAGG